TTCCTCAGGAAACAAGCACAGCTTTGAAATCATTGAAACTTACGCTATCGATTGATTACTAGTAGTGCAAAGGAAGAGCTGTGTCTGGTGAGGTTTAGAGCACAATTTTTTCTTTCTCTTGCAGCGCTATGAAAAAGTTTTTTAAGAAGCAAACATTTTCTAAGTTTTTCGAGACTTGTCCTATTGAAAGAGTACTAGCTTTCTAAGGAAGTTCGACGAAATATAGAGGGATAAGATAAAAATGTGTGGTAGCTTGGAACATAGATTTATTTTTAATTTTGCATCGCTGTAAAGGGTTTTTTGTAACAATCCTATGACAATTTCTTGCCCGATTATTTGGGTCGAATAATCGATTGCTGCCGTCAAACAGAAAAGTACCAAAAAAAGCAATTATGAGACGAAGGAGATTCGAAAAAGTTACCTAAATGCCACTTTAGTGAGCAATCCAACAGAGTGCTCTCTTGATGAGCTAGCACGAGGTTGTTTACAGCCAAACGTAATGCAGACATCTGAGAACCTGAAAAGGGGAAATTGACATGTAACTCACTCAGACAAACATTATCATAACAGAACAAGATATTTGATGAATATATGCTTAAATCACGAATAAACAACCTCGTTCAAGTACTCGCTGTATTAGTCATTATGGGTGGCCTGGAAGATGCTGAAGACCGCACGCACGGTGGTCTTCATGGACGAGAAGTGTGCTTCACTCAGATCAAAAAATCGAGCAGTGATATGACGAGTTGTCGAACGTGATAGCATTAACACGTTAGTGTGACTTATTTTCGGGATTATTTTGCACGTCAGAGTCAAAATTTTACTATGAATGTAAAGTGAAACATCATATTCATCTACAATCACTGTACATATGCTGAGATGTAGCCAAGTGGTTAGTGGGATTTATCTCTCCCCTCCACTCTTAATAATATCTCGCAGTTAATCCATGAACGTAATCCGGCCGTAACTCTACTATGGTTACATAGATGATTGCTTTGTCGTCTGCCCAACACAAGAGAAAATGGGCAAATTTTTTGAGTTGCTAAAAAGTAAGTCAGAGCACATAAAGTTCACCCGTGAAATAAGGCTCCTAACTCTTCAAAAACTAAATTGTGTGTTAGATACGAGTTTTATAAATAGTCGTTTCGATGGATGCATAGATAATCGCTGCCAGACGTATACAATCGACTTAAAAAATAATGGTGATATCACAGTAAGACGTGCTATCACCAAAACATATTTTCATCTCTGCTATGAAGTAGGGTTCAGCGTGGAGCGTGATGCACTGATGAAGCAGGCGGTATCGCGAAGCTACGTATGCTTCTGACATACCAATCTCGAAAAGACTCTGAACATTAATAGACACACTTATAATAGAGCAAATTCTTCGGCAGATCACGATTCCAGTGGAATTGTCAACTGGAAATTAACCGTTTACATTTTACGGATACTAAGTTCGGTGGAGGAGATTCTCAAAGCGACTGAACACCAACCTTCAACGATAGCCTCCGTTTTAGTTCCCCGTGTGCCTCCTGCAGATGGAACAAAGTCTTCTGCTTACTTTCCAAAAGTATCTCACGTTCGTCAAGTGTGATGTCCATCTTAATGCAATCATGACAAAGAATTCTGTTTGAGAGCTAAATTCTCAAATTTTTTTATAGTCACGGTTAGGTATTACCTACTTTAGTTCGGGCACTGCATTATCCATTATCGTCTAATGAACTCATATCTCATGAGTTAGCAATTTACCCGCGTAGCTTTCCCAGTTTCTTTCAAACTGCTGACAGTGTCAATAGCACCCTAAAAATGCTTATTTCAAAATTGGATCTACTATGAAGTATTTCCAGAAATGGAGATGACCCTGGACTACAATTTTGTGATAATGGAATTAAAACTTCCCTTTAGCTACATAAACGGGAAGACAACAAAATATCACGATTCGTTCACACCACGCTTGTCTAATCATCTAACCCGAAATAGTCATGCAAACCATTGGTCGAACAAAAAGAGGCGATTGTTCTGAAATCAATCAGTATTCCCGATGTGGATATTGTAGTGGTAAAGATAAAGTAGAGTCAAAGTAGAGTGCTGGCTCAAATTTCTCCGTATTGCAAGCAATGCATTTCTGGCGTTTCGGTAGTTTATTGAGCCATCCAGCCTCTCTGAGGTCTGGTATCAGAGTTGTTCACGAGGAGCCTTTTCTAATTCACATAGTGTGACTAGTGTTGCAGCATCTTACTTCTCGGACATTTTATCAATTTCTCCAATGCTAAAGTCAAAGAGATTTTTCTCCGTTTAAATTCCTTACAAAATCCCCTGTTTGAACATTTTTTGAATGTAGGATGTGAAATACCAGATCGAGGAAAAAGATGTTCAACACACGCAAATAAAAATAAAATTTCATGTTTGTTTAACGCAGTAGCGGTTAGTGCAAATATATGGAAATATTTAAAAAGTACTTCCATAAGAATTTCATACAACAATACTTGTTATGGCGTATGAAATTTCAAATCACTCCTCGGATATCAAATGATAACGATGGACAAAACTAAGATTCGAATAGATCCTTTCATTTTTATTTGAGCCAACATGTCATGTGGTCTGGTAAGGGCTCTTGTACAGCCCGAGACACGTGTTTCGTCCTTACAGACTCATCAGCCGGGCAGAACCCGTCGTCTGTCGATCTTTTTATAGTCAGTTCTCTCGGGAGGAAAGGTATAATATGATAAAAATACCAGCCAGCTAGCAATCGAGTGCGAAAACACTCTGTGTTAGGTGAATATTTCACCTGACATAGAGTATAAAGCGTACGTCGTCGATAACTATATATAAGGAGTGTAAGGCTCCCGAGAGAACTGACTATAAAAAGATCGACAGACGACGGGATCTGTCCGGCTGATGAATCTGTAAGGACGAAACACGTGTCTCGGGCCGTACAAGAGCCCTTACCAGACCGCATGACATGTTGGCTCAAATAAAAATGAAAGGATCTGTTGAAATTTGAGCGTGGTCTTAAAAAGCACTCGAAGGAAAGGTAAGATTCGAATCTTGAGAAGCTGTTGCTGCAGGTGAGAACTTGCGATAACAGATGCTGTAAAGGAGATCTGTGGTACTGAAAGTGAAGAAACTGTGAGCCATGTTAAAGATGCAAAGTAATACAAACTATTTGATAAAGATGATCTCATTCTCAAAGACCGCCTTCGTTGCGGCCTGCCTCTACAACGAATACACGCGCTGGTTCCAGCAAGACAATGCTAAATCTAACACTGAGAAGAAGACCAAGTGAAAGTTCAATAAATCAAAGTGAGTCGAGATCTTGTCTTACCCAGATTACAGTCCAGATGCTACGCCGTCCGATTATGGCCCGATTTCCTTCGCAGTGGAGCATTTTCCTCGTGAACGGCGATTCCAGACATTTGGTCAAGTTAAAGTTTCATTTAAGGGGTTTTTCTATTCTAAACCCAAGGATTGGTGAAATGGAAAGTATTTCGAGCAGGTTCGGAAGCTTAAATAGTTGGCAGAAGATTGCCGTGGATACTGTTGGTCTTTATTTTGAGGGATAATTATCGCAGATTTTGATTTGATTTATGTACAGATTTGAATTTTCAGCGGATCTTGAGGATCTTTTCCCTCAACCTCATATTTGGGTATGCTATGTAGTACAAGTTGCCCCATCGTAAGCCATTTCTTAAGCTTTCCGTGCAGGTAGAATTATACCAGAAATGTCATTTGCTAATTTCATCGGATTGATGGCCAGCGAATTCATATAGGTCGAATTTGAAAACAATAAAGCGCTAGTTCCGAGATTACTGAGAGATTCAACAACTCTAGCTTTCAGTGGGTTCACAAGGAAGTCAAAAACCAAGTGACAAATAAACTTACACACCTGTTCTTGGAATGCATGTAATCATGTGTATAAGAAGATTTTGACAGTGATGACTCATAAGACGAATACGAATAATTGTAATTAATGGACTCGAATTATTTTCTTTCATGAAGTAGAAAATGTAAAAACGTAATTCTACGAGAAAAATCATTACGAACTTTGTGGAAGCGCAATTGTGTGAAAATTCTTGACGTTGTTCTCAGCAAATGACATTTATTCATTTTTGAAAAGTTAGGAATTCAACTAACATCTCGTCTAGGGGCTCCACAGAAGCTCATCGCTTAGAACCTGCCGGCAATCTGCAATGGTATAAAGTAGGAATCGCACGTCTTTATGAAATTTACCAATCATTTTTGCTGTTTGTTCCTTGAGCTGTCTGTATCACATATCTACTCTACGGATATTTGGTGCGGTCTGTTCAACAAAATACTCCGAGCACTTTTCTAAAGATAGCAGGGAAATAGCATAATGTGATTCAGATATGGTTAAAAGAAGCCTATTTAAGAGTGATGTAAAAATAATTTGGATGTAATTTTTTTTGCTCTTTCCCATGAAGCCGCCTATCAATCTGAATCCATATTAATTAAAGTTACTCATTGAATATCAGTGCAATTGATATCCTCTTTGAGTAAAGGTATACCTGCGCTGACACACGACTTATCAGAAACGTTTTAAGCTAAGAAAACCTTTCCAAGACTTTTGGTAACTATGGATAGCTCATGCCTATTTAGTATCATCTCTCTCAGTGCATTATAGAAGCAACATTAATGTCGTATATCATACTCGACTTGCTTTTTTTTCTTCCGCTGGGAATCCTTAGAAGGCTTTTTGATGAACTTTTAATAGTCTTTCGGAAACTCAAATTTCAAGAATCCTGAAGCTGGAATTGGTTCTTCGAAATGTCTCCATGAAGCGCTTTGAAATAATAAGAAGATCAAATTTTATGCTCGCATTAACGAGCAGTCGCTTGAAATTCCCAACGATTTTAATGGCATCAATATGGGTAATTTATATGTTGGTTTCATTTTATTACTTCTAAAAGAAGAACTATTACAACGAAAACCTTAATAAAGGCATTTTGCAGTATAAAGTAGAAAGGGTGGTAACAAAACGGGCGAAAATAGTGCAGCTGGTCAAGCACGCTTTCCGGAAAAGAATAAATGTGGGTTCGAGTCCCGCAGCCTATTTTTCGCTATTCACAGCTGCATTTCAGCTTCCCAGCGCTCAAGCGTAAGAATGCCGTCTGCACATCCAATATGCTGAAATCACATCCGTGTTCTCATCTCCAGTTGAACGATGCCGACATAAATACAACAATAATCATTCTGAGAGCCTTTCTGAGGCTGGTGCGGTAATGGCACATGCACGTTTTTGCGGTCTCACCAACCTCATCATAGATATTCCCCTACGGGTCACCTTACTAGTGGTCCCAGAGGTGTCAGTCCGTCAAAGTGCAATATCTTAAGATGTTGCTGTCTTGGATGTATTCCAACGATGCAATGAAATGCTACAGACAGTGTGGTCATAAAGAAGTGATATGATGTTACAATGTTGGTAGAATTGAATCCACAACATGTTATATGATGGTCTGAAACTAGAGTGTTCAGGGTGTGTGGAGAGTTCTGATAATTTGTATTTTGTCAATTTATAGTTCTAACATAACATTTTTTATAGGAAAACTGATAATTATATTGAATCCACTGTTCAACTCTCTCATAGAATCTTATTTATTTATTTATTTACCCATTCTGAGTTATGCTAAGGCAGCGGATTGCAAAAATAAGAGTATCGCAGCAGTTGAGTTGCACAAGACGGAAATCAAAACGGCCCACATTGCTACATAGACTCAGTCTAAGCCAGCAAGAGTCTACACAACCGTGAAAACATTTGAAGGGCTGGAGGGATTGAGCCATCTTCGAAAAGGTCGCCCAACAACCTCGTCTATTCCGGGAAACATCAAAAGATCTGCCACCGAGCTCAATGAAACGCTGTGCGTTCGATGCGTAAATTGGCAAGGAAGCTCGGGATCAGCCAGTGCTCCCGCAACACTGCCAAATATACGGTAAAGGTGTGCAGTTACAAGATCTCCTGTGTTCACTTTCTAGACGAAAAGATGGAGAAAAGCGGCTTTCAAAGGTCTGCCGTGTAATTTACTTAATCTCTTGCTCTCATTCGTCAAAGGTGCTTTTCACGAATGACAAAATATGCAAGACCGAAACAATCTATAAACGCCAGAATCGAGGCCAATTTCTCAAAAAGAGTCGACAGAATTCTACAGTAGCAAATGGCATGGAGCAAGTCATTTACTGACTTCCATAATGGCCTGGGGAAACATTTGCGCCACCGAAAAAACGTCGTTGATCTTCATCAATACAGACGTCAAACCAACGCTGACAGTTATCAACAGCAAGTATTCGAAATGTACAAGAGCTCGAGAGTACACAAGACTCTGGCGCCGACGAATTTGCGCTTCAGCATGACTGGGCTGCTGCGGATTCCTTCCGCTCAGCGATTTCCATTTATCAAGAGCTTTTTCCAGCTCGTTTGAAGCAGGGACATTTGGTCGCCAAATAATCCGAATATTATTTCCATGGGTTGCTTCTTCGCCCATGATGGAGGAAAATTTCTGAGCTACTTGCTACACTAGTGTAGAGGCGCGTAAAACGACTCTGACACGTGCTTGAGGCGAAATCGGTAAGAACTCGTGTGAACATCGTTCAAAATTTTGGCAGGCGACTTCACAAATGCATGCGGGATAAAAACTTTCCGAGTTGATTAATTTATGAGAAATGCAGCAATGTAATCAACTCCATTGGTGGCATGGTTTGACGTGATCCATTGCGTATTTCCGGCTATTTCAATGACTCGCGGTGGACTGCCGATGTATCAAGTTGGCTGCTAACCTCTCAGACAAATCTAGTAGGAATTTGCGACTACGAAGAAATGAAAGGCTTCATGAGCTTTGAGCACGGGATCAAACAATCGACCGTCAATTGGTCGATCATGCTTGTGTCACAGTGCACCTTTACCCACTGCTCCATAAGCGCATGTAATTCTTGCATGCATAGCAGGCATGCGATAAATATAACTCACAGAATCAGTTGCTTAATAAAATTTGACTACGGTCAAAACCAAAGGTTTTCCTCAGAAAAACAACTCTAAGAAATTTACATTTGCTCTTGCGCTGAGAAACCGATCTGTGAAGATGAAAACACCAAAACATACCAATTTTACTTCCTTCATGATCGAATTTTCACAAATCGTTGCCGAAACTGCACTCGTTTCTTGTGAAGGACAGGTCACAAGTTCGGATGATTCACTCGATTTCATCATTATCTAGAAACTCATAATTTTTACGTTCTCGCTAGTGAAACCTATTCAGCTTAAGGAATAGCTGTTGCTGCTTAGTCTTGCGACTGCCACAAGGTACAAACACATAGTTTGGAATACGAATAATATGATTTTTCACTAAACGAACGGAACCTCATGCTTATCACGTGACGTGGCATCTCTGTAACGAACTGGGATTTTCCGCTTCACAGGTTCCTGAAAAAAACCGCTTTTATTCGACTCATTCGAAAAAGGAAAATACGACACATAGCAACGGCAGAATATAGTAGAGAAAGATACATAAGACAATATAGGATCATGACTAATTTTTCAAGAAAGATTAGAGCTCTTGGCGACAATCAATCCCTGAAGAATGCGCTACGCTTTTGTCTTCATCTAGCATCCTTCAAGGCCGTCGAATGCATGTCTGGTCTTTACAATGACTCTTGATGGCTTGCCGCTGTAGAAAGTGAAGCAATCCCCACATGGATCGAAGTCTTAGTGAGCCTTGAGCGCGGAATCGCACTATAGACGATTGAATAAGATTAGATCGCAGATTAGGCGATGAACAAGCTTGTCGAAGATGTAAATTCGACCTCATATTCCCAGCTATACCGCAGTCAGACGGTCCTCCTAAGAAAATAAGTACAGCTTTGGAATTATTGAAAATTGCGCTATCGAATGATCACTAGTAGTGGTAAGGAAGAACTCTGTCTGGTGAGGTTTGAAACACAATTTTTTCTTTCTCATGCTGCTCCATGAAAAAGCTTTTCTGAGAAGCAAGCACTTTTCTGAGCTCTTCGCGAATTGTCCTATCGAAAGAGTTTTAGCACTTTAAGGAAGTTCAGCGAGATATGGCGAGACAAGAAAATAGTGTATGGTAGTGTGAAACATAATTTTATTTTGAATTTTGCATCATTGTTAAGGGTTTTTTGAAAAATTGGCCACTTTGTGTTTTAACTCGAAATTTAAGCTTCGAATGATCACTAGAAATTTTACGAAAATTTCTTGTCCGGTGAATGAGGTCGAATAATCGATTGTCGCCGTCAAAGAGAAAAGTACCAAAAAGAGTGATTGTGGGATGAAAAAGATTTAAAAAAATTACCTTAATGCCACCTTAGTGAGCTATCCAACATGGCGTTCTCTTGATGACCAAGCACGAGGTTGTTCACAGCCAGATATAATGAAGCCACTCGAGAGCCTGAAAAGGTGAAACTGACATGTAAACTGTTCAGACAAACATTTTCATAATCAGAACAGAGATATTCGATGAATATATCTTCAAATTTCTGCTCGGCTCTGATGCTCAGGGAATCGGAGCAAGGAAGACCCTCTGGGCTATTCTTGCACGCGACAGAGGCAAATGGAAGTGTTGCTTGTACATGCCCGTGTCACTCGACGATCAACGGGACGACAGGTGATACAGGTGATCTTCAAATCACGGTGTAAACAACCTCATTCAAGCACTCACCGTATTACTCTTTATGAGTGGCCTCAGAGATACAGAAGACCGCCCGCACCGTGATCTACATGGACGAGAAGTGTGCTTCACTCAGATCAAAAAAATCGATCAGTGAGATGACGCGGTATCAAACGTGATGACGTATAACACGTTACTGTGACCTAATTTCGGGTTTATTTTGAGTGCTAGATCTAAATTAAACAGATTTTATTATGAATGTAAAGTGACACATTATGTTCTTTGTATAATCATTGTACATATGCAGAGATGCGGTCAAGTGGTCAATGATGGTTGGTGCGGGATTGATCTCTCCTCTCCACCGCTAAGCATCCCGCAACCAATCAATGAAAGTAATCTGGCCGTTACTTCACTATAGGTGTATAGATGATTGCTTTGTCATCTGCTCAACACAATAGAAGATGGACAAATGTTCTGAGTTGATAAATAGTCAGTTAGAGTACATAAGGTTCACCCTTGAGAAACCTAAGTCCAACTGGCTGCCACTTTTGAACGTTCAAATCAACCTGTTGAAGAACTACTACAACACAAATTGGTACCGCAAGACAAGCAACAAATGCAAACTGGTACATTATCTATCTTCTCATCCGTCGCACACGAAATGCGCACTTGTGAAAAACGTGTCTCGAACAGCTGTTAGTGCGTGCACAGGAAAAGAACATACGACACAGACCTAAGCTTGGCGTGAAAAATAGCCATCTCATATGGCTACAAAACGGTAGGAGCTCCTCAGGTTGGGATTAGAGGGAATTTGGCAACCCTGAAAAGAAGGTCTGGCGAAGATAAAGTTCCATTCATCCGCCCTTTATCTCGAACCAAGTAAGCTGCTTAAAAAAAGCAGATTTAGACAATAACGCGCGACCTCCTACCATACCTCAGGCCAATCTTGCCGGCCTGCGCAATGTACAGTCTCACTTGCGCACTGACTATAGGTGGCAAGTCTTCAATAAATAAGCAAGCGACTTAAGACTTCTAGGCGGTGAGTGTGTTTCTGTAATAACATTTCTACTATGCGATCAAAAGATTCGTTTCTGACTTTTCTGCTGAGGTTATGGAAGCTTTTGACTGAATGATTTGCGGATTAATTTGACTTTTCCAGGTTCTGAAGATCAGGAACCTCGCCGAAATATGACCCACCACGATTGTTGTGCTATTCATGCTGTATTTATGCTTCGCTGTATAGCACTGCATTACTAGTATTCGATAAATATTATACTTAACACCTCGAAACTGCTGAACACAAATACTAGTAATCAATGAACGCTCCATGAAAGGCCCAGTCTGGCTAGTCTTGAGACTGCAAGGAGATCTGCTTCACCAAAGCTACATGACGTTTATTGAGGAGCAAAATCTTAAAGCAAGCGATGAACGTGGAGATACAAAT